GGGGGGAGCAGGGTCCCAGCTCTGGTCATTCAGTCCCTCTTCCCTCCATTCCGCTGGACTGGAGGACCCACAGATCCTCTGGCTCATGTCCCCTTGGGTCCCAGAGGGACCTTTTCCTCCCCCCCAGCAGGCAAGTCTGGGTCCATGTCTAACCCCTACACCTGGGGATCGTAGGTCCAGGAGCATTCAGGCCCCAGTTCAGTGCTGGGGGTCCTCCCAGGACCTGTTTTGCCCGGGATGCTGCGTCCAAGCCCTGGATCCAGATCCTAAGTGTCCGTGTTGCAGTCCATTGCATGGCCCGATTGCCGGCTCCTCTCTCTGCCTGCTGTCCCTGGGGCTCTGCTCCTCCTCGCAGCGTCCCCTGTGCATCTCCTCCTGCTAAGCATGGCTCATGGGTCTCCTCGTGTCTCCTGAGCTCCAGATCTTGCATAGAGGCTTGGGTGTAGCTGTACTGGGTCTGCCCTTTGGGTGCTCTTTATCTCCCAGTTCCACTGCCTTCATCGCAGTGGGAGCTTCTGCTGCCTCGGTCTCTCCCTTTGGGTCACACCTTGCTTCAAGCCCCACACAGGAACCTCACGGGAGTCTCGCTGGCTGATTCCTCACGCCCAAGTCCTGCCAAATCCCAGTGCACAGGCTAGAAGGGATGGACACCCAGATGGGAGCAGCTCCTCCCTGGGTGTAAATCAGCATTGTCCCCTGAACAACCCCACCCTGAGACAGGATCTGGGTCATGAGGGACGTGGGAACCCTCTGAGGCTGCTCTCTGCTCCCCTCTGTGTGGTCCTGGCTGCAGGCTGAGATGTGTCATATCTCTTCAGGGGTCCAGGGAGCTTCAGGTCACTGGCCTGTGCTTTAGTAAGACCTTCCCAGGTGAGGAGCTCAGTGGCAGCAGGTGACAGCTCACAAGAGGGTGTTTTGCCTCTGCGGCCCATTCTCATCCTGGTAGCATGCTCACAAAACGTTCCCTGGGTCAGCCGTGCCCTCCTAATTCACCTTGATATTTCTGTTAAACAAATCGGTGTACAAATCAATTGTGGGTGTCCTGGGAGAGCGACTCATTCACTGTCTGTGTCTCCCTGGATGGGGTGAGCATCTCGCTTGAGATCGCGTGGAGGGGATGGCAGGTGGGCTCCATGCGCAGGAAAAACCCAAATCTAAGCAGATCAGTTGCCTTTTCTTTCCGGGGGGAGGGGGATGGGAGAGACCAGATCTTGCTTGAACAGTCAAAGTAAGTTGCCTTTGCTTTTCCCTGCTCTTCAAGGTCAGCCTAGCTAATGAAAATCAATCTTCCCTCTGCCTCTCTCTGCTGCATGAGCAGATTCTACCTGTGGCCCCTCACCTACTTGAAAGCCTCCGCCGCCGCCGGCCGCCTGGCCTGCTGACCATGTGCAACGCCGGTGGGGAGCTGTCTATTGAAACAGAGTTTTCCTGCGGGCTCGGGCACCGTGACAGTATCTGTGTCACTGAGGGATCACTTATTTGATCTGCCAGAGGAGAATGGCTTTGTCCTGGGGAAGTTGGCTGTGCACGGAAAGCACGTATCCGATACTGAAATCTGGGCTGGAAGCGCTGGGGGAAAGCTCTTCGCTGGGGTCTGGCATGCAACGAATGGCTTCCATCCTCTGTGCGGTCCTGGGCAGCTCTGTTTTGCAGGGAGCAGAAGCGGGAGGTTTCTCTCTCCCTTCCTCCTCAGGGCCAAGATCTGGCTCCGTTGCAGACCCCCTCCTGCCTGCCCCCTCTTCTCACCCAGCCCCGTGGAGGTTTTACCCAGACGCCAGCGGCAAGGTCTGGCAGCCCCAGGTTTTGGCGATGGGGCTGATGCCATCAGGTCAAACCTGCCGGGGCCGGGCGGGGGGGTAAGTTGTGGGATGGGGGGGTCCTCCCTGCCCCAGCCCACAGCCCTCAGATGGTCCTGACCCTCCCTCTGGATAAAGCAGGCGCCGCTGCCAGTGCTGCAGCCTCGGGAAGTGCCGTTTCCTGAAAACAACAGCAAACAGCATGGCAACCTCAGTGCAAGGAGCAAGACGGGGCTTGCCTGCTGCGAAGTCAGCTTTCCCTGCTTCACCCTGTGTTTGTGCCGGGGTTAAAGAGAAACCTGCCCTTCTCAGCATTCGTGACGGGGGTAAATTGGTTCCTGGGCTTCGCTGAGTTGTGCATGGAAAAAAGGGATGCTGCGGTGGGAACCGCCAGGACTCGGGGAGTCTGTGGGCTTGGCCTGTCCCTGGCCAAGTGTGTGCCTCATTAGTTGCAATTTGTTGCTGCTGCTGCCTGAAATGAGATGTGTGCAGACCCCTTCCATCCCTGTGCCCCTGGTGTGTACAGGGTACAGCACTGGGAGGCTGCTCGGGGTGTACTGGGAAGCCCCAAAACAGCGTCTCCTGCTCCAGAGGAGATGCTGTTCCCAGTTCTGTCACTGGCTCTGGATAAGTCACAGCTTCAGGTTTCCCCTCCTCTAGAGAGGACAGGCACTTTACCCTGGGGAAGGAGAGGGAGGACGGACAGGGTCCGTCAGTGCTGGCAAGGGGTGGGAAATCCTCTGGAAGGACACGAAAAGCTCAAAAGCGTGGGGGGATGCTGTCCCCCCCTGTTTCAAGGGACAGCTCTTACAGCCCTTGCCTTTTGGACATGTCCAGCTTAGGTCTCTGCAGGCACAGAAGTACTTTGAGTCCAATTGTTGGAAATAACTGCATTAGGAGTTCTCCAGCCAGTCTTTGCTTCCTGGTTTGTGTGGATGGATCCATTATAAAATGTAACACAAATGTTTTCTCTGTCTTCCTGCCCCATCCTTCAGGATTTTTAGATGTGCCCTGATGCCGCAGGGTCTCCTCGCTCCTGGAAATGCAGCTCTCTTCCAGTGTGGCTGAACTCAGCTGTGACGAGACGATGGACCCACCCGCTGAGGACTTCCAGCAGGTCCTGTCCATTGACCAAATCCGCTCCATCCGTGCCAGCAACAACTACGTGGAGAGACCGGCTGTCTGCTTCCAGCAAGCCCGCTCCAACCCATCCCTGTCCCAGCCACCACACAAGCAAGAGTGGTCCCAGGACCGCCTGGCGTCTTCCACCTTCCAGGACCTGCACCGCAGCCACAGCCAACAGCACCAGATGCCACCTTTGCAGCAACACATGAGCCATTCCAGCACGGCCAGCTCCGTCTCCCAAAGCACCACCGCCTCCGACCAGCGACTCCTGAGCAGCCTCACGCCCTCCCACTCCGGGCATTCCCTCATCCGGACGCAGCCCCGGGCCGGCGAGCTGAAACCAGAGGAATCGCCGCTGAAGGGGGTGGTGGAGAAGCCCACCCTCCACACCGGCCACCTCTTCATCTGCGAGGAGTGCGGGCGATGCAAATGCGCCCGCTGCACGGCCGCCCGCAGCCTGCCCTCCTGCTGGCTCTGCAACCAGCGCTGCCTCTGCTCCCCCGAGAGCCTCCTCGACTATGGGACTTGCCTCTGCTGCGTCAAGGGTCTCTTCTACCACTGCTCCACCGACGACGAGGACACCTGCGCCGACGACCCCTGCTCCTGCGGGCCGGGGTCCTGCTGTGCCCGCTGGGCTGCCATGAGCTTCCTCTCTCTCCTCATGCCCTGCCTCTGCTGCTACTTTCCTACCCTGGGGTGCCTCAAACTTTGCCAGCGGGGTTATGACGGCCTGAAACGACCCGGCTGCCGCTGCCAGAGCCACACCAATACGGTCTGCAGAAAGATCTCCTCCTCCAGCGGCACGCCTTTCCCCAAGACGCTGGATAAGCCGGTATGACCCTCCCGGGGAGGAGAAGCAGGCTTTACTCCTCTTCCTTCCTCCTCCTCCTCCTCCTCGTCTCCCCTCCATCCCCCTCCTCCTTCGGCTCCCTCCGCTCTGCAGCGCTCCCCCCTACCCACCATCACCTCCCAGGAAGGAGACGGGTGAACTGGGAGGGTTCCCCCAGCCTCTGGGGACACGAAGGCGGCTGGGTGGCCCTGGGAGCTGGCACCCGGCTGGTGGGAAACGGTGGTTTTGCACACACGGGTGAGGGACCAGGAGAAGCAGAGAGAGCTGCAGGTGCCCTCCCTGGCCGTGCCCCATGGGCAAGGGTGACCCGGGGAGTCCTCTGCTCTCAGAGGGTTTTAGGAGCTGCCGCTGCCCCATGGTATCTTCCTTCCTGATGGGGGGGAAGAGGCAGGTCAACGCATCCCCTGTGCAAGAGTCCTCCAGGAGCCAGACCTCCTTCTCTCTCTCTCTCTCTCTTTCTCTCCAGCACTTTTTGTGGGTGGCCTCTCTCCTCTCAGCCGCTTTCCCCAAGGGGCTGGGGTGCCATGGGGTCCCACCAGTGGCAGTGGCTTCTCTCTGGGCTTGGAAGCCGCTGGGAGAAGCAAGCGAGCTTCAAAAAGAGGTGGCATCGTATTTTTCTGTCTCAAAGAGGAAGGGAAGGTGTGGGAAGCTTTAGAAACCTTCTGGCAGGGGAAGGAGCTATCGGAGGCAGCCCAGCCCACTCGCTTCTGCCCGACTGCAGCGAGGGAAAGGTCCCCTCTGGGATTTGGCTGAGAACAAGAAACTGGTTTGAAATTGCCATTCATTTCCCAAAGCCTTGAAGAGCTGCCTCCAGAGCGCAAACCCTAGCGAGATGGGAGCTGCTGCCCAGCTCCATCCCACCACCGAGCAGATGCCACAGGCACCGGCTCCATCCTTGAGCCCTGAGAGCCCCGATCTGGTACCTTCCACCAGCACTGAATTCACTTTAAAAAAAAAATACCCCAAACCCAACTGTCAATAGCTGCCACTCGCACTGCTCTCCCTGTCAATTAGCACCAGTCCTGGGGGACTTCCCAGCAGGGACTTCTGCAACTCCTGCTTTGGGCTGGAGGGAAACAGAAGCAGAAGGAGGTGTCAAAAGACGGGAGCCCAACCTTCCCTCCCTGCAGAAGTTGCCTTTGAGTCCTCACCTCGCTTTCCTTGGCCCACCGGCGTGTCACACCAACACCAGCGGTAGGCAAATCCTGCTGGCACTGCTGAGGGTATTCTGCAACGGCGGCTGCCTGCGGCAAACTGGAGATGGGTCTGAACCAAGCCCTGGGGCTGGGCCATCTGCAGACCAGAAGGAAACCTGAATTGGGGTCAGTGCTTCACGGCTGACTTGCTGTGATGATAATAAGCCCAACCCATCGCTGCAGTTGAGGGGAGCTCCTCCTGGTCCTGGACTCAGCCCCATCTCCTCTTGCAAATGCACGGCATCAGCTCTCAGTTGTGACCCCGCTGACATCGGCCGATCGGTTGGGGGAGTTTGGAGCCAGGATGATGTCCCAGTGCTCGGCTCTGCCTGCCCTGTCCCTCCTCCGAGGTGTGTGAATGCAAAGGGAAGTGAGTGGTTCCCCTGGAGAAATATATGCAACACGTCCCTTGGCTTCCTCCAAGACCCTGCTGTCCAGGGCTCATCCGTCACCTTCCCTCAGCCACCTCTTTACGTAGAGTTCTGTGGATCTATTTTTGTATATATAAATATAACGTTAGGATGGCTAGGTCTACTACTAATAATATTCATGATACTGCTGTGAATGGTGCCAGATGCAAGGTTTGGCTTCCTGATACACTTGCACATGCTGGAAGATGATTTCCCAGTCTGTTTATTGCTAATCCTAGACCTTTAGTTCCTAGGTAGTCGGGAGAGAGGGGAAGGGAGGTTTACAGACTGTCTTGGGGGGGTCTGCTTTGCAGAAAGAGGGTAGGATTTAGTGCTGGCTGTGGGGTGAGGCAGGAGGTAGACTCTGCTCTGATGATGGGATTCCTCTTTCCGTACATTTGCTATCTAAAAATCACGGCTGATCCAAGCTCCCTCCGTTGCAGAGAAAAACAGTTCCAGAGAGTGATTCATCCTGCTTGAAAACATTATTCATTAAATTATGTTCTGGCGGTGCCTGTCTCCCTTGACTCAAATGGGACCCAAACACTGAATTCCTGGTTCCCTGTGGAAGGGGAGATGAATCCCATCCCTGGTGTGAAGTTTGTGCCTGGGGCATGTTACAGACATGACCAAAATCTTCACCCTGATTTCAACCTAGAGCCTGAGGGGGGATGTTGACAGATGCTTCCTCTGGCCAAAGGTGGAGAGCCCACTTCCATAAGCTGTGGGGAATTCAGGATGATGCTCTGGGTTACAGTGAGGATCTCCTGGCATTAAGAAGGGAGAAGGCCACATCTGTGCAGTTTGCACATCCTCTGAGGCCAGCCCTGGACTCTGAAATCATTTGGGCTTTAAGGCAGTGACCTTCTCAGAGCATGCCCTGGACCTGTGTGTACTCCCATCAGTCCATGTCTCTATGGCAGCAGTTATAAAATATATTGCAAACATATTTATCCATATGCCAATAATTGCTTGGCTCCCTACTTCCAAGCAATGTTTGGGGAAGAGACTTCCCCCAGGAGGCACCCTTCTTTTTGAACACTCGGTTCAGTTTTCTATTGGTGCTGATTAAACCTCTTTTTCCCCCCAAATGTAAGACTTTTTTAGGGAAAAAAGGTCCCTTTTTCCACTGAGGATTTGAGGAACTGTCTCACTTGAATGAGAATGTGAAATAGTTCATTGAAACTTTTTAAAGAAAACTAATGAACAGAATTTTCCAACTTGCTCTACTTTGATTTTTTTTTCCTCCTCCTTTTTAAATGGATCCTACTTGTAAATTTAGTTACCACCTCTGTATCTTTGCAATTCATTGCTTCCTCTCCTGATGGTGGAATGACTCAACATGTGAAGCTTCATCATTTTCACGGCCTCCGAAGTCAGGCAAGCACGGGGTGACCTCCCCCAGGTGCTGGAGCTGTAGGATGAGAAGATGGCTGTCCATGTATCAGCTCCCCAGAGCCAGTTTTGCTTGGCACTAGCACGGTGAGGCGGAGCCCTGCACTACTATTGCAGCATATTTACCTTCAGTAAATTGGTAGGAGGCCAGGACGCCTGCCAGTTGCCTTCTACCTAATGGGCTTTTTCTGGGTCAGTGCGGAAGTCCCATTTCTACCAGGGAATCATGCCATAGCCTGGGTGCAAGGCTGAGGAGTCCAGCCAGGTCTCTTGAATGCCTCATCTCCAAGAAATGACAAACCCGCCAGATCTATTTTATGAAATACGGCACATGTAGAAGGGAATTGGAGAGGAGAAGAGCCCCAGGTGGGCACTGAGGGCTGTCAGACTGGCGCAGGGCTTTGGTTTGACTGTGTTGAGGGCAAAATGCAAAGCCGCATCCAGGCCTTGCAGTTGCATGGACTAGAGAAGTTTAGAGCTGTTGGCCCCTACCCTGCTCGTAGGGGCTGGTGGCTTCACGTGGGGTTACTGCTTCCCACTCCACCTGGGGGGGCCTCAGCGAGCTCCCATTCCTTGCTCTCAGCAGAAATGACAGGTCGGGATCTGCCAAAAGCTCTCCAAGGAGGCCAGCTCTGCTTCACTGAACTCATCTGGTGTCAGGAAGGCTGTGGGTAGTCTCTGATCATGTTTTTTTCCTGAGCTTTTCCTAACATCTTCAGACCAGATCCATCCTGCTCCCTCCCCATCTCTGGCTGCCAGACAGTTTGGTTTCCCTGCAGAGAGGACTCCAATTTTGGTTGGGGTTGTGAGCCCCTTTCCTGCCCCACCCTGTAATGAGTCAGATAACATCTGCTCCAGATGTTCGTTTGCAGCTGCTTGTCCTGGCAGTTTGGGTTTCTCTCTGTCCTGACGTGTCTTTTTTGGTTTTCTTTTGGGAGAGTCGCATGTTGAGTCCTCTGTTTTCCCTGTGCCCCTGTGATTTGACAAGGATGGATCTGCTTTGCAAGGGAACATTTCTCTGTGTTGTGTGTCTCTACTGGTGGTGGGGTCCTTTGCCAGGAAATGTGCAGGGCTGTAGGGCAGATTTAGACAGGGAAAGAGAGACTCAGGTGCCAAAGGAGCAGGAGGACAGAGCTACTGAGCAGGGCCCAAGCTCCCTCTGCTCTGCTCCCAATGCAGGAGCCTCCTCTTCCCACCCAGACCTCCAAAGCTCCCTCCACGCAAAAGCTCCTGCTGGTGCTTGCTTTCCCCAAGACTTCCTTTGGTCCTGCACTCCCCCCTTCCTTACTGGCAAACGTGTGATCAGTCCCAGCACTGGTGAGGAGGGGTCACTGGGGACCAAGGTGGAGTCTCCCCCCTCCTGGTGGAAGGGCAGAAGTGGTCCTCAGGCTGCTGTCCACCCATCCCTGAGAAACATCAGTGCCAGCCAAGTCCCTCAAAGAATAGGGGGGAAGCTCTTTGCGACTCTACTCTCAAGATTCCCATAAAATCCCACTGAGTTCGCTCTTCCCTATCCCCATGTGTGAACCCAAAGACTGGCGGGCAAGTGTCGTTGACCAAAAGATGCCAAAGCACAGAGTAACAGTTTATGAATGGCTGCTTTAGTGCAATAAAGAGGGATGAGCGGAGGGGTGAGAGGAACTGCTGCAAGGTTTGCACAACTGGATGGCACAGGGAAGGAGCACACCGTGCCCCAAACTTGCTGTTTCCAGCACCCGCTTTGTTAGTTTGCTCTCTGTCTCTGGCCCTTGGGTGTTTCAAGGCTGGAGAAAACTGGGAGGTCTTCGGATATTGGAAGGTCTAACTTTTTGTGATCACCATGTGAGGAAAGTAGATAAGGGATGTACCCCCACCCCAAAGCCCATTCTTGGTCTTCAGCAGGATCCAGTTCAGGCTTGTCTCCTTGAAGGAGCCCACGGACCCCAGACCTGCGGGATGCTGGCAGCAGCTGGAGGCTGCTGGTCGGCATCTGGTCCATGTGGGCCAA